TTTATCAATCTTTCCTTTTTCTCGCTGTCTGTACGAGACACAGTTTCAAATGATTTTCTATTTTATTTCAGAAATAAAAGCAAGGAAAAAGCATGCAGGTAAGAAATAATTCCTTTGGTGTTCGAGCGTTTTAGTAGAGCGTTTTAGAGACTAACTTAGCGCATGAGAAACAAGCTAAATAGACATTAACACCAGAGCATTAGTTTCCTTTTCATTCCGTCAATTTTATATAGTTTTAATAACCTCGCTTATAATCGTATATCAGTTTTAATTTTATAATAATCGAAGAGTACTATATTTCCGTTGTAGAATTAATTAACGTAGAAAAATATAGATGATCATCAGAGATATACGCGAGTCTATCGATCGGTCGTATTCTTCCATTGTAAAAGTTACGTTGTAATAAATAAGATCTGCAAGAGCATCGTAACAGAGCGATTGATTGAATACACAGAGAAAGATCTTGGTTTCCTACGAATTGGCTCGTTGAACGTTCGCGTGAAACGTACTACGGAAGCCTTCAGCCAATTCCTGGGTGTGGCAACCAGCAGTACGACTAACAACAACGAGAAGATTCATAAATCATGGGGATCCGCAGATAACGTTCAGGTACTACTCTCTTGGGTTCAATGTGTCATATATTGAATTGAACACATTATATTATAAATAATATTTTAATTGGGAGTAAAAGTAATTTGGGATTAATAAAACTTAAAATAAATTTAAATACATCTTTAATTATCCCAAATTACTTTTACTCAATTAAAATATTATTTATAATGTTATTTACAATATATGACAAATTAAGATAATGCATAAATTCTATAGTGAAAAATATATACATTTAGTTTCTTTGATTAAATAGGTCTATTCGCGTTGCTTGAAATCCCCAAAAAATATGCACTGTATACATGTATAATTACTTATTACACTATCTAATAAAAAATATATGAATATATAATAGAAATATATAATTATACAAATTAATGGAAACCTATAAATATAGAATAAAGGCAAACATATTGATTAATAGAATCATTAATAACGCAACATGCAGTGTTATTATCCATTCTAATTTCTCGCGTGTTACACTGTGACACGTTTCTCGCAAGCTGGAGCAGAAGTTGATGCCACCGCCGAAGTACGCGCCTATCAAGAAGCGCAGGAGCAGACGGCCGCAGGATTTCGGTTCATCGCAGGAGCGGCAGCAGGTCGCCAGTCAACCAACTACTCCGTTGCTGCAGGGTAAAATGAGCCGACCGAACCGGACTGTTCAGCGTCGACCAACGTCGTCAACGACATCGATCAACTCCAACTCCATCGCGTCTGGTGGCGTCCAGCAAACCGGCGATTCCGATTCCGACACGACGTGCGGTTTCGATTCCGCGTGGCGAGGATCGGCTCAATTGTAACTAGCCTAATTCGTTATTCTAGATAACATCGCTCATGTTTATTCGATTGCATGAAGCATAGGAAAGCTTAGGTCCTAAGAAGTTTTAAGGACCGACAGTATCTCTAGCAATTCTTTTAAAAATGGCAGAAACGAAAATCTATGTACACGATTCTCGCCAACGATTGCACTTATGTTAAAGACTTTTTAATATACAAAACAATATTTAACAAAACAATATTTAAAAAATTATTTTTCTCTTAAATTGTTCTTATTTCACAGGACCTTATTGTTTATAACACAAAAAATCTGAGAATAAAAATTGTGAATATTTCAGATACGATTTCTTCTTCTGAAAATTTTATTGTGTGTGATTCAAATCTCGTTTTCTTCAATAAATTTATTAAATAATTTATTTTTTATATTTAAAATAAATTATTTGATATTTGTACATGATATTTGTCATTCCTTATTTCAGTTAAAATACTCAATACAAGTTTAACTTCAAATTTCATATATAAAATAAATATAG